GCATAAGTATGCACGAGCGTGCATGGGGATGCGTGAGTGCGCACGATGACGCATGAGCGTGTATGGGGATGCATGAGGAGGTAAAAGATGCACAAGTGTGCACAGGGATGCATGAGGATGCTCAACGATGCGTGAGTGTGCACGGGGATGCATGAGGAGGTACGCACGAGTGTGCGCAATGATGCACAGGGCTGCATGAGGATGCACAAATGTGCACGAGGATGCACAAGCACATACAGGGATGTGTGAGTGTGCACGATGATGCACGAGTGTGTACAGGGATGCATGAAGATGTACAATGGTACACAAGTGTGCATGGGGATGCACGAGGATGCACAAATGTGCACGAGGATGCACAAGCACATACAGGGATGCGTGAGGATGCTCAGTGATGCACGAGTGTGCACGATGATGCATGAGTGTGCATGATGATGCATGAGCATGCACAGGGATGCATGAGGATGTACAATGATGCACAAGTGTGCACGGGGATGCACGAGGATGCACAAATGTGCACGAGGATGCACAAGCACATACAGGGATGCATGAGGATGCTCAATGATACACAAGTGTGCACGGGGATGCGTGAGTGTGCATGATGATGCATGAGCATGCACAGGGATGCATGAGGATGTACAATGATGCACAAGTGTGCACGGGGATGCACGAGGATGCACAGGGATGCGTAAGGATGCACAAATGTGCATGAGGATGCAGAAGCACACAGAGGGATGCGTAAGGCTGCTTGATGATGCACAAGTGTGCACGGGGATGTGTGAGTGTGCACGATGATGCACAAGTGTGCACAGGGATGCATGAGGATGTAAAATGATGCACAAGTGTGCACGAGGACGCACAGGGATGCATAAGGATGCACGAGGACGCACAAATATGCATGAGGATGCACAAGCACATACGGGGATGCATGAGGATGCTCAATGATGCACGAGTGTGCATGGGGATGCATGAGTGTGCACAGGGATGCACAAGGATGCATAAGGATACACAAGGATGCACAAGTGTGCATGTAGATGCACAAGCACATACAAGGATGCACGAGGATGCTCGATGATGCACAAGTGTGCACGGGGATGCACGAGGATGCACAGGGATGCACGAGCATGCTCGATGATGCACGAGTGTCCATGGAGATGCACTAGGATGCACGATAATACACTAGTGTGCACAGGGATGCATAATGATGCACAAGCGTGCACGGGGATGCACGAGAATGCCCAGGGATGCACAAGCACACACAGGGATGCACGAGGATGCTCGATGGCGCACAAGATTGTAAGGGGACGCATGAGTCTGCACGGGGGCGCATGAGGAGGCGCAATCATGCACGAGAGCGTGTGTGGGATTGCGTGTGGGTGCACGATGATGCAGAAGGGTGCACGATGATGCACAGGCTTGCACTGGGATGCATAAGAGCACACAAGCATGCACGGGGATACACAAGGGTGTGCAAAGGTGCACAGTGGTGCATGAGGGGGTTGCATGAGGATACACGAGGGGGTGCGCAAGGGTGCACGAGCGTGCACACGTGCACAAGCACGCCCAAGGAGCACGCGGAAAGGAGACGTGAGCATGCGTGAGGGCATCTGGGCGCGTAAGGATGCACGGGCACCCGTGAGTGCTGCAGAAGGATTCACAGAGGATGCACGAAGGAGAGATGCACGAAGGATGCAGGAGGGATGCAGACGAGATGCATGGGAGATGCAGAAGGATGCACAGGAGGCGCGTGAAGGATGCACGAGGGATGACATCCCCAGGATTCACAGAGGATGCATGGAGATGCAGAAAGGATGCAGGGAGATGCATGAGGGATGGGCAAAGGACGCACAAAGGATGCAAGTGTGATGCACGAGGATGCAGAAAGGATGCACAGGAGAGGCATGGAGGTTGCATGAGGGATGATATCCCCAGGATTCACAGAGGATGCATGGAGATGCAGAAATATGCAGGGAGATGCATGAGGGATGGGCAAAGGACGCGCAAAGGACGCACAAAGGATGCAAGTGTGATGCACGAGGATGCAGAAAGGATGCAGAGGAGAGGCATGAGGGATGCACAGGAGATGTATGCGTGGAGCATGCCCGAAGGAGGCGCCAGAGGTGCATAAGGAACGCGCGGAGATGCACGAAGGACGCACGAGGGATGCACACGAGATGCGTGGGAGACGCAGAAGGATGCGCAGGAGGTGCACGAGGGCCGCCAGGGAGATGCGCAAGGATGCAGGGGATATGCAGAAGGGATCTGTGGCGGACGCCCAGAGGCACAAGGGCTGCACGGGAGCTGCAGGAAGGATGCAGGAGGGATGTGTGGGGGATGCAGGAGGCGAGCGGATACCTTTGAGGATGTAGTCCGTGAGCAGTGTGGGCACCTTCTCGTTCCCCTCCTTCATGGCAAACAGGACTGGGAGGGAGAAGGGAGCCATGAGCCCAACCCCGCTGCCCCCCAAAATGTCCCTTCCCCCCCCCAAAACCAGCCCCACAGCCCTGCCCCCCAAATGGCCCCTCCCCCCCCCCAAACCCAGCCCCACAGTCGCCACGGAGACACTGCCAGAGTCTCCCACAATGCACCAGGCCGGAGAGCATCCACCACCACGTGCTCTCACGCCCAACCAGCCGGTCCACGGCACTGCAGACCGGGTGGTTTACCCCCAAATCAGCGCCGGCGTAGGGCGAAAAAATCGCGCGTGTGGGCGGGTTGCTGCAAACCAGCGGCGCTGCGGCGACGCGAAACGGGCGACCGCGCCCCATTCTTTTGGCATTTCAGCCCCAAATCTGCTGCGGTGCAGCGAGTCCCCCGAATCGCAGCCACTGCGGCAACGCCAAAAGGTGCATTCGCGGCCCAAATCTGCCAGGCCGCCGCGCCGCGAAACCTCCGATTCTGCCTCAAAACGGTGGCTTGAAGGAGCACTCACTGTTGGTGAGCATCTGCAGGTCCTCGACGGAGGGTGGCGACCCTTTCTTCTCATAGGGAATCACCGTGTTCAGGTACTGCATAAAAAAAAAAAACACAAACCCCCCAAAAAAAACAAAAAACCCACCCCAAAAACCATCCGGATGGCACAAAATTGCCGATTTTTTGCACAAATCACCCCAAATTGATGCAAAAGCAGAATATGTCCGCAGTTTTCCCGCGGTTGCATTTAATTCGCAGGTATTTTGAGGGGCTACCGAATTAATTGCACGCAGCAAAACCCACCCCAAAGCGAACCCCTGCTTAGGGAGGATTTTTTTTATTTTTTGGGGTGAAAAACTTGGATTTTTGGAAGAGGGATTAGCGGGATGTCGGGGAGGGAGTGGGGTCGTAGAATTAAAAAGTATTTTAAAAAGGGGTTTGGTGGGTGCAGGGGAATGGGGTGTGCAGGATGGGGGGTTGAAAGGGGACAGATTTGGGCAATTTTGGGGGGACAAAAGGGCAAAAAGGTACCTGCTTCTCATTGGCAGCGGGACCGAAGGTCTGGCGTAGGCCGGAGTGAAGGATGCTGGAGATGCCCTCCATGCTGAAGCGCTGGGGACACACATGTCACCCTGTCACCTCCCGGGGACACAGACATCACCCGTGGTACCCCCCTTGGCACCAACGTCCCCCTGACTCCCTGAAACCCATCCACGTCCCCCCTGTCCCCCTGTGCCCCCCCGGCCCCGTCCTCACCCACCCAAACCCGTGTCCCCCATCCCCTGTCCCCATATCTCCTGTCCACTTGACCCATCCCCTCTCCTGTCCCTGCATCACCCCCTCCCGTGTCCCCATCCCTCACCCTCCCGCCCCC